GCTGTGTATCACTTGTATGCAACAAGTGTTTTTGGCTAAAGGAATGTTTTTTGAATAAATGAAAATAAACTTTCAAAAGAAAACTGAAATATTAATAGTCTTTTCCTTAAAGTCATAAAATCTGCTTATTTTTCTTACAAAATCATTTGCCAGACCATAAATTGTTTTCTTCTCGTGGTTTATATGTTCTGTGTTTATTTTGAAGAGAGAAATTCGTTTATTTTTATAGGACGTAAGGCCAAGGAGTTCTCCCTTATTAACTTCTTTTCTTTTTTTTTTTTTTAACAAGTTAATAAATATCTTTCTCAAGTATGCCTTGGAATTGGGATAAAGGAATTTTAAATTGATTTTCTGAGATTAGAACTGAAATAACAACATCAGCAATTTTTTTGTAACTGATGGTTATTTGCTAGGTTATAGAGGAACGTCTTAAGACAAGGTGTATGTTTGTAACATTTCTCCTGAGAATTTAAATGGTGTAAAAATAAGTATCACACACTTTGTACAGTGTTTACTCTCCTTTGAAATAGGGAGGAGTCCATAAATATTAACCAGAAAATTGTCTTTTTTCCTCACTGTAAAAAGTGATAATGAAACTTTTTCACTTAGAATATTGTGTGGTTGTTTGGTAGAGAAGTTTGGTAGTGTAATTTGATAATGGTTTTTTGTACTGAAAATCTTTGGTCTCTTGCTGTGCAGAAATACTGAGTTACATTGTATGCTCCCTATTAAAACTAAAACCAACCGTTTGCCATCGAGTCGATTCTGACTCCTAGTGGTTGCAGAATGAAAATATGATATGCAAGAGTGATATTTAATATTATATTAAGCTTTATGAAAAAATAATTGTAGAAAAATCTTATCACAAGGAATCACTCAGTGTTCTGAGAAATGCCCGTTTCATTCAATGCCCTCATGTCAAGGCAGTGCATATGTATTTTTTCACACACACACAATCAGCTGCTCAGGTTAATTGAAGTTTTTATTTGACATTTAATTTAATCACCAAGAACAGTATTTATTCACCTGTGAAGCCTCTAAATCATACCAAACCAAAAAACCAAACCTGTTGCCATGGAGTCAATTCCAACGCATAGTCAACTTCTAGGACAGGGTAGAACTGCCCCATAGAGCTTCCAAGGAGCACCTGGTGGATTCGAACTGCCGACCTTTTGGTTAGCAACCATAGTTCTTAACCACTATGCCAGCAGGGTTTCCCTAAATCTTACAGAAACCTGTAAAATAGGGAGAAAGAAAAAATCCCAAACTGAGAGTAAAATATTCCTGACTTTGATTAGATTACAGTATATTAAATCCAGCAGTTTACCTATGATGTGAACCTCCCTGAATCTAGAATTCTCCTGAATTATTTTAGTGATTAATCTTAACTAACAATGAGTGTTCCTGCTTTCATCAGAACTCAGCTACAGAGACTATTAGTAATAATTATGTTTGGACTTTTCTCCTCTTCCTAGGTTCTTACCATTCTTTTCTTTTTTGTTGTTATTGGGTGCTGACGGGTTGAGTTGATTCTGGCTCATAGTGGCCCCCTCTAGGACAGAGTAGACTTGCCCCAGAGGGCTTCCTAGGCTGTAATCTTTACAAGAGCAGATCACCAGGTCTTTATCCCACGGAGCGGCTGGTGGTTTCTAACCACCAGTCTTTCAGTTAGCAGCCAAGTGCTTAACCACTGCGCCACCAGGGCTGCTTGGGGGTTCATTTACCGTTATGACATTGTATTGATTTTGTTGTTATAAATCATCAGAGTCACAATCTCTAAGAGTAAATACGGGATGTGTTTTATTCACAGTCACAGTCACATGAGCTAGGTTATTGGGCTCTGATTGTGTGCCAGGCACTTTCTAAGCACTTTACATGCAGTGAATCCTTTAATCCTCACTGGGTAAGCTATAGGAATATCTTCATTTCACAAGCATAGGGAGTCTAACTAATGTGCCCCGGTCGCCTAGCTAGCACATGACAGAACTAGGAGTCCAGTTCAAGCTCTTCCTCTAAAGCACTCACTTTTAGGGAAGATAGATCTGTTACCAAATTATTCATTTGCCTGAGCAGCAGCATTTTCTTCACTCACTTTTTTTTTTCTTTTCCATGTACTACTCAGTGTATTTTCAAGAGTATCAAACAGGACTTAACGTAAACCATATAACTTAAAATTCAGTAGTGATCGACAAATACTTGTACAGACAACAACAGATACATGGACCAGTGGAGCAGAATTCAGAACCCAGATGTAAATCCATCCATCTATGGTCACCTGATCTTCGACAAGGGCCCAGAGTCCATCAAATGTGGAAAAGACAATCGTTTTAACAAATGGTGCTGGCGAAACTGGATATCCATCTGCAAAAAAAAGAAACAGGACCCGTACCTCACACCATATACAAAAACTAATTCAAAATGGATCAAAGACCTAAATATAAAGCCCAAAATGATAAAGTTCATAGAAGAAAAGATAGTATCAACACTATAGACCCTAATACAGGGCATTAACAGGATACAAACCATAACCAACAAAACACAAACTCTAGAAGATAAGCTAGATAACTGAGATCTTCTAAAAATTAAACACTTATGCTCATCAAAAGACTTCACCAAAAGAGAACCTACAGACTAGGAAAAAAATTTTGGACATTGTAAGTCAGACAAAGGTCTAATGTCTAAAATCTACAAGAAAATCCAACGCCTCTACAACAAAAAGACAAATAATCCAATTAAAAAATGGGCAAAGGAATTGAACAGACACTTCACCAAAGAAGACATTCAGGCGGCCAACAGACACATGAGGAAATGCTCTGGATCACTAGCTGTTAGAGAAATGCAAATTAAAACCACAATGAGATACCATCTCACCCTGGCATTACTGGAACAAATCAATAAAACTGGAAATAACAAATGTTGGAGAGACTGCGGGGATATTGGAACTCTTATGCACTGCTGGTGGGAATGCATAATGATGCATCCACTTTGGAAAATGATATGGCACTTCCTTAGAAAGCTAGAAATAGAAATACCATACGATCCAGCAATCCCACTCCTAGGAATGTATCCTAGAGAAATTAAGAGCTGTCACACGAATAGATAACTGCATACCCATGTTCATTGCAGCAGTGTTCACAACAGCAAAAAGATGGAAACAACCTAGATGCCCATCAACAGATGAATGGATAAACAAACTATGGTACATACACACAATGGAGTATTAAACCCAAAAAAACCAAACCCATTGCCGTCGAGTCAATTCTGACTCATAGTGACCCTATAGGGAAGAGTAGAACTGCCCCATAGGGTTTCCAAGGCGCACCTGGTGGATTCGAACTGCTGACCTTTTGGTTAGCAGCCGTAGCACTTAACCACTACGCCACCAGGGTTTCCGGTGGAGTGTTATGCAACGATAAAGGACAATGGTGAATCCATGAAGCATCTCATAACATGGATGAAACTGGAAGACATTATGCTGAATGAAATAAGTCAACCACAAAAAGACAAATATTGTATGACACCACTGCTGTAGAAACTCATGACAAAGTTTACACACAATAAGAAACAATCTTTGATGGTTACGAGGGATGGGAGGGGTGGGGAGGGAAATACTAAATGGACAACAGATAAGTGGTAACTTTGGTGAAGGGTAAGACATTACACAATACTGGGGAAGCCAGCACAGCTTGTACAAGGAGAGGCCATGAAAGCTCCATAGACACATCCAAACTCCCTGAGGGACCGAATTGCTGGGCAGAGGACTGTAGGGACCATGGTCACGGGGAACATCTAGCTCAATTGACAGAACATAGTTTATAAAGAAAATGTTCTACATTCTACCTTGGTGAGTAGCATCTGGGGTCTTAAAAGCCTGTGAGCAGCCATCTAAGATACTCCACCAGTCTCACCCCTTCGGGAGCAAGGGAGAATGAAGAAAACAAGATACAAGGAAAAGATTAGTCCAAAGGACTAACGGACCACAGCTACCACGGCCTCCACCAGACTGAGTCCAGTACAACTGGATGGTGCCCGGCTACCACCGCTGACTGCCCTGACAGGGATCACAACAGAGGGTCCCAGACAGAGCTGGAGAAAAATGTAGAATAAAATCCTAACTCACAAAAAAAGACCAGACTTACTGGCCTGACAGAGACTGGAGAAACCTGGAGCGTATGGCCCCCTGGACACCCTTTTAGCTCAGTAATGAAGTCACTCCCGAGGTTCGCCTTTCAGCCAAAGATTAGACAGCCCCATAAAACAAAACGAGACTAATGGGACACAACAGTCCAGGGACAAGGACTAGAAGGCAGGAGGGGACAGGAAAGCTGGTAATAAGGAACCCAAGGTTGAGAAGGGACAATGTTGACATGTCATGGAGTTGTTAACCAATGTCATAATACAATGTGTACTGTTTAATGAGAAACTATTTGTTCTGTAAACCTTCATCTAAAGTACAATAATAAATAAATAAATAATTGTACAGGATTGGTAAATAAAAGCAAATGGTCTGATGGGATGGAAAATGCCTGTTTTGGCAAAGCATTTTATTCACAGAATTCCAGTTTTTCTCTTAGATGTTCAGCTTTCCGGGGAATTCTTCCTTGAGAGCAAAGGTTAATTCTTATTATCTGGCACAGAGACCCATGCAGTGGGAGTTCAGAGCATTTTCTTGGATGGCTAGGCGGGCGGACAAAGAAGGCATGCGAGAACAACTTTCCCTGAAGCTCTTCGAGCTGAGAACGTGGACTGTGGCCTCGACAGGGCTCAGCAGTGCACTTCCTTGTCACAGCATAGAGTCGTTCTAGTTTAGCTGCCGACTTTTGAGTAGTCTCATAACTGAATGTAAAATTGTTCAGGGTGTCCTTTCTACATGAAGCTTGTTATTATTTCCTGGGCTAATATTAGACTTCTGTGACTTTTAAAGATTTTCATTTACGTGTAAAGTTTATTTGACATTTTATATTGAATATTTATTAGTCTTTATGTCTTAATTTCCACAGCATCACTGCAAAACTTGAAAGAGCTTTAGAAAAAGTTGCTCCTCTTCTTCGTGAAATCTTTGTAGACTTTGCCCCATTCCTGTCCCGCACACTGCTGGGCAGCCATGGACAGGAGCTGTTGATAGAAGGTATGATTTCTGTCTCCATTCTCGTCGTTTTAGTTTCCGTAACGTGTCTGTTAATCAGGGCTGATTTGTGCTTCTGAGGGAGTATGTATTGCTAAAAGAATGTGAAGACATTGCTACCAGAAATTGTAGTAAGATCTTCAATATATAGTCTCCACCTATTGGTTTTTTAAAATAACACGTTTGCCGGCTATGCCAATAGCAGAGCGGAGAACTTGGAACAGGTGGTGGAGTGGGAGGCTCTGGTCTTGTCACCCCGTGTCCCGGGGTGTGGCTACCAGGCAGTGGTCTCTGATAGCTGCCTCTCACTGGATGGTCCATGCTTCTTCAAACGATTTTCTTGTTCCCAAAAAATGTGAAATATGAGAATCCTTAATTGAGAAAACACTAACATGTAGAGAAATACCCAACTGTGAATTGATGAAGCTGTAATCTTATACTCAACAGCAGCTTAAATGGGATGAGGGGGCAAAGAAGCTAAATTAACTATTGAGAAATTTTAATTTATGTACCTGTACGAGGAGAGTGGCTTTGAAAAAATATGTTTATCTGAAGTCTTATTTCTTTAAAAAAAAAACATTTCCTTTTATGTGTATTCCTGAGCCCCTGAAAGGGATAATCAATATCCAGATGATCTGTGAGAAACACAGGCTTCTGGTGGCCTTTCTGGCAGTCCTTGGATCTAGCAGCCCTGTGCACTTTTTGCTTTTCCCTCTGCATGTACTGTACAAGCCAGGAAGTTTGCCTGTGCCTGGTCTGTCACGGGGTCAGTTGTTCTACACCATCTCCTTCTGTTAGGGGAGACAGTAATGGTTTATCACTCGGCCTCTGGAAGCCGAGTGAGTTTGAATCCTACTTCTGCTGCTTTTCTAACTCTGTGACCTTGTGTCTTAGCTTGCTGTGCGTGAGACGGAGCCCCTGGCGGCAGCTTCCCGACAGCTCTCAGAGCAGTGGCTCATAGTGAGCTGCTCGTTTTTCAGACACACTGAGTTCCTGCTGCTTGTCCAGTACTGTCTTAGGCACTTGGGATAGATGTGCAGATACCAGGCAAAGATCCTTGCCTTTATGCCGCTTGCAGTCTAGCAATGAGAGACAGGAAATAAACAGTAAACGTAAATAATTAAGTTACATAGCATGTTAGAAGGTGCTGAGTGCAATGGGAAAGGCTGAGTACAGCGTAGGGGGTTAGGACCCCAGGAGTGGCAGGGTCGGTGCAGTTTTTACAAAGGGGGGTCAGGTAGGAGGTCAGGACCCCGGGAGTGGCAGGGTGGGTTCAGTTTCACAAAGCGGGGTCAGACATGGTGGTTAGGACCCCAGGAGTGGCAGGGTCGGTGCAGTTTCACAAAGGAGGGGTCAGGGAGAAGTTAAGTTTGTGCAGAGATTGAAGGAGGTAAGCCGTGCAGCTGACTAGGGAAGAGTGTTGTCAGCAGCAGAAGCAATGAGTGTGTGGCCTCACGTCCTTGGTGGGTCAGTGACCTTACTACCTGTCACCCCAGAAGAGGCTGGATGCCACTGTGACGTGGGTGGAGCAGAGTGAACCAATGGGAGAGAAGTTGAAGACTGGGTCAAGGGAGGTCATGGGTGTCAAGTCCCAGAGGGCTGGGTAGTGCATTGTAATGACTTTGACTTGAACTAGTGGGGACATCATTCTGGGTGCCACTGTCCTCGCTGTTGTTATCACCTCCACCAAAGATCAGGACTCTGAGAAGAATCACATAGCCTTAAAGCAACCCGAAAATGAACTTTAAAAGTTCTTGGGAACTTAGAAACCATTCCTTGGCCACAGACTGTGTCTGTAACTTGAATAGGCTTGTTTTGGATGTAGGCAATTGGTTACACAAAGCTGTGCATTTACTGGTTTGTTCAAAAAAGAAGAAAGCAGATGCTTTTGCATGTTATGTGCCACGATGAAAAGGCATGACTGTTACCTTCAAGGAGCTTGATGGGAAAACAGACACAAACACTGGTAATTAAAATACAATATGATACATGCTGCAGCAGGTATGAAAGTGTATATAGGGTGCGGTGGGAAGTGCGACTGGGTGGTTCACTGTTTGCTTCTCAGTGGACCTACCTTCTGCACTGGGCCTGCCCCTAAAGCCACTCCCTCACCTCTAGAAGGACATACATTTTTGACAGGACAGTTTGTATACCCTGCTACTGCTTAACTCCATCATAGCTCAACACAGCCTTCCGAGTTCCAGACAGACTCTGAGTTACCCAGACCGGCCGTCTCCAGCCAGATTCTCCATTGATGCTTCCAGTTCAGTTCATCCAGTTTGAATTCATCTTTTCCTTCACAGTTGCTTTTTCTCCTAAATTTATTTATTTTGCTGTTAACATCTCCATTAATGGAAACATTTGAGGTAGAAATTTGATTTTTCTTTAACTCTTCTCTCCCTCAATTTCTATATTTATAATTACTTGGTAAACATTAATTATTTCTGAAAATAATGGTGATTTGGAGCCTTCTTCTTCAAATATTCGTAATATTGTATTGTTAATATTATATTAAGCCCTGCTTTAAAACTTTCCACGGTAGCATACGTATTATGCTGGCTGAACAAGGGACCCATAGTGATGTGTTCCAGAGAGGACTAGGCTATCAGCTGGTTTGCTATAACTTCCTTTTGGTGTTTTAAAATTCCTTTGAGTTCCTTATAATTGGATGCCGCTGAGAAAGAAGAATGCTTGTCAGTTAAATTTCCATCTTCATGCTTTTCTATAACGTGTTACTTTTATAATATAAGAGAAAAAGTTCCAATAAACATTATTGAAAAAACAAATCTTAAATGTTTCTTCATTCTCTAGAAAAGACTTTTTTTTTGGTGGTTATTTATGTATATCTTGCTCCTTTTCCTAAAATGATTTGAATATATTTACAGAAATTCATAAACAGTGATCAAAGCATACTAAAATAAAATAAGGAATAAAGTCAGTGATATCTAACAAATGGATCCCTAACTGTTAGTAAAACTGGGTTACAAATTCTGCACTAAGTTGCCTGGCAGGCAAAGCAAAGCAGAAATTATGGGAAGTTATGACTCACATCATTTGTTCCTAAGTGACTGTTAGGGTCTAAGGAGCTAATCTCACATAACTTTTTAACTACTCTATTTTGGTCAGAATTCCAAATGTGTAGCCCCCTTTTCTAGAGTTTTCCATGGCCAGACATCCCAACTGTCTCTTATTTATTTCTTCCAAGCATTGCAGAGAGAAAATAAGAGAAATGGCTGGATAGTTGAGACCTGTTTTCTCTGGGATCCCTAACTTCACCTAAAATATTCTAAATTGAGTTGAAAGAGCATATCTTTTATACCAGTGCATCCAGGCGAACCTGGATATTTTTTTAAAAGTGACTGGGATAAAATGAAATATTAGAACAAGTTAAATATTGAACATTCACTGTGTGTTCCACTGGAAGAATGTAATTTTATAACTTTCTTACATTCAAAAGAATTTAATATATCCTATTTTTGAAACTATGTGGATGTAATGTTTATGTACTTCTTACTTTTTTATGTTAAGATGACTTTGTTATAAAATGACGATAGTGGATGCTATAAGTTTAGGTTTTCTGTTTTGTTTTTAAAAACTATTACTTGGCAAAATAAAAACTTGACAACCCTAATGGTAGTACTCCAAATTTTTGCTAGCCTATAAAATCTAAAAATCTAGAAACGACTCCTGAGTAACAGAACAACATTTAGTACCCCTCACAATCACTCCCCAGACTTAACTAGTCTCTAACCTCTCGCTACAGAAAACCAAAAACCAAACCAGTTCTGTCCAGTCATCTCCAACTCATGGTGACCCCATGTGTGTCAGAGTAGAACTGTGCTCCGTAGGGTTTTCAACAGCTGATTTTTTTGGGAAGTAGATCACCAGGCCTTTCTTTTGGGGCACCTCTGAGTGGTCACGAACCACCAACCTTTTGATTAGCAGTCAGGCACTTAACCATTTGTGCTACCCAGAGATTCCCTTGCTGCAGAAGATATTCTTCAAACCTGCAAGCGCCTGAAGTATTATCACATTTCTTTGCTTTTGCACAACTCTTCCCTCTGCCCCAAATCCTTTTCTTTTCTACTGTCCTGAAAATTCTACTCATTCTCTGTATCCTGTTTCAAACTCCTAAGGCCAAACTAATGCCTTTTCTTCTGTGTTCTTGTGGCATTTTATTTATACAATATGAATAAAATTATTTCCCATTGTAAATCGGAAATATTTATTGTTTATATTACCAGTGCTTAGCTAGATTCTGATATGTAATAAATATTCAGCGTTTTTTTTTTTTTTTTATTAATAGAACATTGTTTTTGTTACTGCTCATTTTTTGTAGCGGTAAATCTTGAAAATAAGAGAAGAGAGGTAAAATTTTGTGTTCTTTGGTGAGAGTTCTCAACATTTATCAGTCACCACACCCTTGAGTTTCTACTACACTCATTCAGAGTCCATTCTGGGTCTTTGTCCCAGTGTAGAAACCTATGTTCCTTCATAGTCTCGTCCTTGTCCGTGTGCTCTTGCTCATTCTTTCTTTTTCCCTCTTCCTCTCATTTACCCTCTTTCTCTAATTCATACACTTTTCTCTCCCTTGACAAAAACTGTCAGACTGTTGTGAAGAATGCGGGACATTTACACGGTAACAAAATCTTTACCCCAAGCTATATTTTTGTTTAAGAAATAGTATTTATGATTACTAAATATCACTGCTTTGAACTTCATCATGTATGTTTATGGTAAGAACAAAGCTCGATTTAGATAATTGAAGACACTTTAATATCCTAAGAGAGAGAGAGCAAACTTCTCTTTATTTAAAGTAATCATAAAATATATATTTAAAAGGAATTTTATTTTATGTTTTATATTCAGTTTTCCTTGATGCACACATGTATACTTTTACATTTTTTTTGTTGTTGTTGTTATAGAATAATTCATTTTTGGTAGTTTTTATTCTCTATGCCCTTTAAAATACAAGTTAAAATAATGTCCTTTTATTTGCTTAA